AAGCCATTGCCGCCCTACTGCTGTTCTCTTTGAGTCTCAGCCACATCTCTTGGTCTATGAGTTGTGCTCAGTAGTTCTTCTTGAGAATTAATAAGTTGGCACCTGCTTGATTCATTGGGATTGCAGGGATACGTATCAGCTTCGTCTTAAGTTATATCCGCATCATGAAGAATCATGCCGCAAACGGCATTGTGAGCCTGTCCCATCCAATTCATCAGTGTCCTTTTGAAGGGCTATGCATGTAAGTGTGTAGGATTGTAGACGCCTGAATACGTACCAATATCACGGTTCTAGTTTCCTTGTCTAATTATGGTATAGAATACCTCAAACAGACCTCAAAATGATGTTCGTTATGTTTTGGGCCACGCATTCATCACCTGCAGTTCCTCATTTCTTTGGGCCTGCTGTTGTCCCTAGCGGCTCCGGGGGTTGGTGGGTGTTGTTTTTGGCTTACTTGTTCTTGTTGTTCTTGGGCTTCTCTATCTGACCCCCGCTCCAGTTCATGAGATCGTGGCCCAGTGGTTGAAGGCCCTTGTATCAAGGAATCCTGCAAGCCTCCATTCTTCACATTACTGGGTTCGCGGAAAAGTCTCCGGTTACCCCAGAGAGGTCTGTACTGCTGTACTGGTTTCACAAAATGAGGGGTATTCCAACAAACTTTGGGGATACTCTGAGGCTTTAAAGTTACAGGGGAAATTGGAGATTCGCCGTTACGGATCCTTTTCTTTAATCTTTAAGTTCAAAGGCAGGCGTGTTTTGAGTCATTCTGGTCGCTACTATTCATCCTTTTCTTCTGTGACCGGCCCAGTTAATGTGTGATCCCGACCGCAAATCCTGCCGGGCCTGCCTCGAATCTAAATGGAAGTTTGCCAGAACAAGACCAGAAAGGGACCTTTGAAATACCTGTAGAAGGACATGAGCTGTCATCTAGACTATCGTCAAACTATAGTCTAAACTCCTTGAAAGGGGTTATATAGGGGAGTTTAGAGCATCTAGGGTGCACTGTCAAAGGATGTCAGGGGCCTTTCCTCATCTCATGATCCAATGTGAAGTATGCCCCCCTGCCCAGGACAGGATCCTATGCGACAGATTACTCAGCAAGCTTAAAGCATAGCTTTTCAAGACCCATCCTGGACCCTACATGAACCTGCAACTCTGAGCCCTAAAACACCTTAAGCCCTAAGCTCCAAACTCTCAATCTCAGGATAGATACCAATTGTACATGGCAAGGGTCTGGCGGAAGCTTGTGCAAAAATTGCTCAACAACTCCGGACCTGAGCCTTGCACAGGTTGCATCTAGGTAGCGGAAAGTCCCCTCATGACCATGTGAGCTATAGTTTAAACTCCTTTAAGGGGGTTACATGGGGTCAGTGTCCCAGGCGGAGGAAGAAGGGCAGTTCATGTATTGATATAGGGTAGTTTACCACAATAAGGGGAACCCCCAATATAGACCTCAAAAAGCTATACAACTTGTTGTAGGGCCCCCAAAAGGTACACCTAATGTTGGGAACCCCCATGTATAGTATATATATATATATACATTATGTATAGATTTTGTGTTTTCCACAGCATCCGTGGCAGAGGTTGGGCATCTCTTATCGCTCTTTTGGAAAACAGCTTCGGACCACCTATTTGGTCAGGAACGTGCCCATGTACCCATGCCCTTCACCACCTATCTGAAACATTCCGAAAACAGCGTCGACGTGATGAAGCACTGGTAAAAGAGCTTGAAATCCTTATCAGTTTTTTCTAAACCTCCGCGTCCGCAGCTGGATGGGTTTGCGCAGTAAGTGATGTGAGTTCGCACCGAGTGAGCTGAGTGAACCTTCTCGTAGTGCTATGCTACATGCAGAACACTGCCTGCCAACAAACTACGAATTGTATAGCCTTGGAGATGCTCCGATTGAGTCAGGTCCCCGCCCTGCTCGCCTGCACCAGCAGCATCCTCAGACTCACCGGCGCTGAAGGGGAAGGGGATCAGGGAGTTTAGGAGTTTCTGATTTAGGACTAGGGGGGTGTTTAGGGTTGACGAAAAGAGGGTTGATGAGGGTCTAGGGATGAAGGTCTTCCGATCTGGCTTCATTGGGGGCAGCCGGAAAGGGGGGTCAACCAACCCTTGGGATCCTACTCGCCCTCAATGACCAGCAAAACTAAAGCCAGATTCCCCGAATGTGGAAGTTTCGCATTCATGAGTCCGTTTTCGTAAATGTTGTAGCAAGGATGTGAGTAAATCAAGGAGTACTAGGTGGCTGATTTGATTTCGTGGCCCTAGGTCCCTATTGCCTTTTTGGTTGGACTCGGTGTATGCAGAGGATGGGTGCAAGGATAGCTGAACTGCGGATTTATGCAGCATAGGGCTGATGATTTTTGAAGTCTTTCCGGTCAGGGAACTGAAATCTGTGGTAGGCCATTTGGGCGCACATTATAGCATCAACGTGCGGGATTCCGGCAAGCTCTGAAGCCCTGAAAGCCTGATTTGCTTGGGTGCTTGTCAAACTCTTTCTCTCCAGCCTTCATATGCCTCCAGAACATTGGGATCTTGAGCTTTACATCAACATCGTCGCCTCTTCCTCTTCAGTCTACACACACCTCCAACAGATCATAACAGATCGAAGCATTGGAGTTTTTCGTTGCAGGGGCACACCTTGTCTCTCTCTGCTGGCAGGGCTTGGCGTTGGGAGCTGGACATTTCGCCCAACCCCTGGAGCCGTTTTGGGGTTTGGGGATCAGGCCGATTTCCGGAAGCTTTCTCGAGTGGCTGTACAAGAAAGGATCATTTCCGCCTTATACAGGGACATTCCAATATGGATCTAGTTTTAGGCCGCAGCTTTGGGCTTGGGGCGATAGGTCTGTGTGCTGCTGAAGTAGGAACTGCTAGCTCTGAGTGCGTGTGTCTCTTTCTTTTTGTCATGTCTGAAGCAGGAACTCAGCAAGGCAGACCCTACACGTTACCAATTTGGACATACCCAGCTTTGTTTGAGACAGTTGCACCTTCACAAACTCTCTGTGCAATTGTTGGGTTGCTGTGGTTCTGGGTAGGTAGCAGGGAGCTGACATTGCGCCTTTTACAGTTGGACAGTCTTGAACGTGAGTACACGATTTCGGAGATGAACTGAAATTATGCAAAGGCACACAACTGGTTCGTTGCATACCTTGTATCTCTGATCTGACATTTTTCAAAGGTACATGCCTACCTTGTACTTTGTAAGTTTGTGTTGTATTTTGAGTCCTCCTTTACCTGAGCGCTGGTGCAGACAAAAGTGGGTATAAAGGGATCCGCATCAGTTTCTTGCAAAGCGGTATCGCCAGATTTTTCCAAGGGGAGCAACTACTATACTACAGTAACGGATGTCGTACGACATTGTTTGAAGTCTCTTGGCACGCCCAGGCTCTTCCCGATGCGGCCTGTGGTCCCAGTGCTGCCTGGATGCATCACTGGATCCAGGAATCAACACATATCTTCACTGTAAACAAAAGACGTGTTCGGCGAGATTGTCATTACAGGACGGGCACAGCTGCTACTAGTGCTACTTTCTTGCTGCTGCTATACTGCTTCAATGCTTTTGCAACGTTGCAAGGCTTTTGGTGCTGGTGGTGATGCTGCTGCTGCTGCCGCCGCTCCTGCTCCTGCTGCTCCTGCTGCTGCTGCTCCTGCTGCCCCTGCTGATCCTTCTTTTGCCGATAATCATCATTGCTATCGGCACTATCATTTGTGAGTCGCTGCTTGCACAGCTCATCCTGATCCAGGCTGTCGCGATGGCGGCCACGTCTGCTGCATCGGCTATGTCGGCATCAATGTCGCTTGCGGCCGGCAAGGCCTCTCGACCCGAACAATTTGGGATCTAGGCTCTAGGTCCTAGAATTTGGAGCAGGGATAGGGGAGCTAATTATTCTTGAGTTTGACTGGAAGCTGCTGCCTTAGGAACATCCTCCACCCCTCCCAGACCTTGGAAAAAACAGGTATATATAGGGATCTACTTCCCACTCCCTTAATCACCAGTAAGCTTAGGGTTGCGCTTTCAGAACTTTCAGGGTCAACTTGGCTTGTCGGAGATGTCTAATTGTGATTCTTTTTTCGGCACCTTGTGATCAACAGTCCAAACTCCTTTATTAAAGGGGGTGTATAGGGGACTACTATAAATATAGGGGTTATAAAGGGGGATACTTGGAGTTTAGACTATGGCTCATGGGAGTTCCTTGAAGAGGGACCCTAATGTAGACCCAAAGTGCTATCGACTATGATCCTCGTTTATGGGGACCCCTCAAATGGCACCCATAGTAACCCACGTATAGACTTGAATGCAGTGAGGGTCATTATCAGCGATCTCGTCGTCTCTGCAGCGTTCTGTCTGTGGTGGATGCATCAAGATTTCAGCCCGTTTTATGTGTTCCGTGCCAGGAGCGTGGCTAGGCTAAAAACAAAAATCCTTAGCCACAACTGGGAGATGCAAAAGGAGACCCTACGCTCAGACTTTAAAGCCGCCGTAGCCCCTGGGGCATCTTGTGAGAAGGTATAAGCAATCGCCGAATGTGGGGGGACGTGCGAGACAGCCCTAAACCCTAAACCCTAAACCCAGTATTTGAAACACCCTTGCTGCATGGCTTTGAGCCGGGTAGTACTTCTGATTCTGATGGGCAGAACTCCAGGCCCATTAGGACCCCTATATAACCCACTATAGTAGTTTCCATTTTCTTTCCAGTATCCTTATATAACCCCAATATAACCTCTATATAACCCCTCTATAACCCACTATAGTAGTTCCATTTTCTTTTCCACTATCCGTTTCAAGATGCGTTGCGCCGAGTCGGACTTCGTCCTGCCCGTGTACATCACGGCGTCAGTCTCAGTGTGGAAAGCTTCGAGGCGTACAGTTATGTTGGGGTTATATAGGGATAATAGAAAAGAAAATGGAAACTACTATAATGGGTTATATAGGGGTTATATAGGGGTTATATTGAGGTTATATAGGGATAATGGAAAAGAAAATGGAAACTACTATTTAGGGTTTAGGGTTTTTGCATTCTCAGTGTCAGTGAGCTCTGAGCAGCTTGTTAAGTGTGCAGGATTTGT